TTCCAGTGGTAGTCATGGCCGTAGGAAAAAAGTAGTAGTGTCAGATGTGAACACTTGTCGGTGCCAGTAGGAGGGATAAAAGAGGATGGAAAATTAACATTAAAAAGAAACTTGCGCATAAAGCAAGTAAACGGTGTAGCTAGGTGTGCTACAACAAAGGTGGGGGGAGTCAAACCAGATATGACCCTCAAGAGAGTCATATCTACACATAACTATGAAATTGTAAATTATTTGGTTCAGGCCGATCGCCAGAAGCATACGAGGTTAAAGAACGCCTCCAGGGAAAGAGTGTAGGAAATATATCTACGGCTAGTGCCGCTTAGCCCTTCAGGTTGCTTCCATGTTTTGAACGGAACCAGGGTTGTTTTTCTGTGGGTCTGCTGGTAAAATGCTCCAGGTTTTAAGGAAGTCCAGGCCTGCCTCTAGATTTTTAATATTATAGGTTCTGCCTTGATGACGCACTATTAGCTTAGTGGGGAATCCCCATTGATAGGCCATACTGTGATTTCTAAGCGCTTTCGTGATAGGTATCATTTTCTTTCTGTTAGCAAGTGTGGCTTTGGATAAATCCGCATAAAGGCGCAAATTCGCGTGCGAGGATGGTATTGGAGGAGGGTCCCTGGCCGCCATCATAATTCTTTCCTTAATATGGTAAAAGTGTGTATGCGGACAAGCACATCTCTAGGAATAGTTGCAGACAAGAAAGAAGGCTTAGGTAGGCGATGTGCTCGATCGGTTATAGCCTCTACTTCAGTGAGTGTAGGGATTAGTAGCTTGAAAAAATAATGCAAATATGGAAGTAATGCCTCGTTAGATACCGTTTCAGGAATTCCTCTAATTTTGATGTTATTGCGGCGTGAGCGATCTTCCATATCGGCCAATTTGAGATTGATTTGTTCGATATCTAACGTGTATTCCGCATGGGCATCAATCAAATCATTGTGCGCTTCTACTATATCCGCTATGTTGGTTTCAATATGGCGGATCCTGCGGTCCTGTCTTTGCACCAGAGTAGTGATTTGGGCCAATGGCGCGGAAATACCATTATGCAAAGTTTGGCGTAGTAATGTCAGCATATTTTTCATACAAATTTCAGTTAGCGGTTGGTCAGATACTGGGAATGCGTCTAAGTCAGACATGTTTGAAAATGCTGGTTGGGGCATAAAGTTTAGGGCCTGGGATGCATCTTCAGGGTCTCTGTCAAGCCGAGGCTTAGATTTTACAGGGCTGCAGGACGTGGGTGACAGTGGGGGAGATAACTCACCCGGGTCCCCTGGGTATAGTTGGTGTCTCAGCCTGGGATCCACATGCTGGGAGTTGTAGTCCCCTTCCTGGCTTCTGCTGTCTCCCTGTGCATCCTCGTGGCGGCCGCCATCTTGGATTCCCGGCTGAACGGCCGGGAAGAAAAACGTTAATTTCCCTGGTTGCCCCGGGCTTTTTTTCCTGCGGGGCATGTCTAGTGGGCTGCGGGCACCCTCCGTGGTCAGCTGTCTGATGTCGGATTTCCCTGGGGCCGTAGTGTGCCGCGTTAGTGCTGGCGGATGGACGGAGCTGCAGCTACAGAGCGTCCATCTCCGAGCCGGCCGCGCATGCGCCCTTCTGAACAAAATTTAATATGTATTCTTACGCAGGGCCATGGATAAGGGCGTACCACCAGTCCTCTTGTGCAGGGCCAAGGCCAGCAGGGGGCCCGAGGCAGCTGGGTGAATCAGATGTGGGCAGGGAGCGTGATCGGTATGGCGAGAGGGACAATTACTGGAACAAATCCCCTGTATGGCTCTGCCTGTAGCAACAGAAAGCTGGCTTCTTCTCCTCTCCCTTCTGCTTGCTTTCATCTGCTGCAGAGAAAGCCATACAGGGGATCGGTTCCAGTAATTACCCCCCCACTGCACCCATCACGATACCTGTGCACCATACATTTCACCCTGCCAGTTTCCCCTGTGTGCCCCCACCCCCGCAGTGCTGCCGACTTCCCTCCTTTCCTTTCCCCCAGCAGCTGCAAGCACATAATAGGATCCTTCAGGTTGGAGAGCGGAGGAAGGGTGCGGTAAATAAGTCACAATTACCAACCCTTCCTTTCCTGTATGAACACAATGCGTGATTGGTACTGATCATTCACTGTGTTCATTCATAAATAAAGCTTGATAGACAGTTTTTCTTAGGGTGAGGGGCCCTGTCAAGTTGGCTGTATGGAGCCCCATGGTGTCTAACAGCAGCCCCGTCCTTATGACATATTGAGCTGCCAAAATGTGTATGTTTCAGATATTTCTATTTTCTGTTCCTCTTCTAATTGTGAATAATGTGACAAATTGATGACTAAAACCACACAAAATTATAGACAAAAGTCTGTTTTTATTTCAAGCAAACAAAATTACAACATTATCGTTCATGAATTTAAAAAAAAAAAGCATTATATTTAAAAACCCTCCTTGACATACATATGCACTATACATTTAAAAGATACATGTATAACAAGATTTTCTAATAAAAACAAATAAGCCTGAAAAAGGTCAGCTTCAGTAACAAGAGGGAAACTGCTCTTTAAACGTACCCAGGAATTCATCCTATAGGGACCTAAAATTAACACTCTATTTTAATAAGGGCACATTCTGAAAGGCACGTAAATGCCTGAAGAAAAATATTGGCATTTTAGATGCAGAAGAAAATGTAACAAATAATATTTTTCATAGTCTTTCATATTTGTTTAAATGGGGGCATAAGGAACTTTTCCTAGAAGATGTGTTTGGAAAGGCCAACACAACACAGTGACCCTTTGTCCCCACATAAATGGAGACAGTGTATGTCAACGATTTTTTTACCCCTTGGATTTCTCCTTAATAGTTTTAATTAGGTTTGCTGTAAAAACACAAGTGCATTAGCTAGTATCAGAGAAGTCTGGAGCTGTGTGTTATCCCTAGATATTTTGTCTGGTGTAATACACTGCATACAATCAGTTTCAGATTTGGATAGCAATGTATCAACAAAAACTGTTTTTTTTTAAATCTCAAAATAGAGAATGAAAACCTAGGAAGTAGAAAAAGTACAATACTTTAAACATTTACCTTAAAGGGTCAGCTTTCCCAATAATATTTTTGGGTGGATGTTAAATCAAGATTTTACAATCATCACAAAAAAAATGGCATACATACAGTATTTGTTGACGCCATTGACATCTAATATACTTTATTCATTTGTACCTTTCTTTCTGTTCAGATTATACAAGTACATGAATTTTACAGTGCATCCAGAAAGTATTCACAGTGCTTAACTTTTGCCACATTTTGTTATGTTACAGCCTTATTCCAAAATGGATTAAATTCATTTTTTTTCTTAACACTCTACATACAATACTCCATAATGACAACGTGAAAGAAGTTGGTTTTGAAATCTTTGCAATGTTTTAAAAATAAAAAATGAAAAAACCACACATACATAAGTATGCACAGCCTTTGCGCAATACTTTGTTGAAGCACCTTTAGCACCAATTACAGCCTCAAGTCCTTTTGAGTATGATGCTACAAGCTTGGCACACCTATTTTTGGGCAATTTCTCTCATTCTTCTTTGCAGTACCTCACAAGCTCCATCAGGTTGGATGGGGAGCGTCGATGCACAGCCATTTTCAGATCTCCCCAGAGATGTTCAATCAGGTTCAAGTCTGGGCTCTGGCTGGGTCACTCCAGGACATTCACAGAGTTGGCCCATAGACACTCATTTGTTATGTGGGCTGTGTGCTTAGGGTCGATGTTCTGTTGAAAGATGAACCGTTGCCCCAGTCTAAGGTCCAGAGAGCTCTGGAACAGGTTTTCATTAAGGATGTCTCTGTACATTGCTGCATTCATCTTTCCTTCGATCCTGACTAATGTCCTAGTTCCTGCCGCTGAAAAACATCCCCACAGCCTGATGCTGCCACCACCATGCTTCACTGTAGGGATGGTATTGGCCAGGTGGTGACTGGTGCCTGGTTTCCTCCAGACATGAGGCTTGGCATTCAGGCCAAAGAGTTCAATCTTTGTTTCAGACCACAAAGTGTTGTTTCTCATAGTCTGAGAGTCTGTCAAGTGCTTTTTGGCAAACTACAGGCGGGCTGCCATTTGCCTTTTTCTGAGGAGTGGCTTCTGTCTGGCTACTTTACCATACAGGACTGATTGGTGGAGTGCTGCATAAATGGCTGTTCTTCTGGAAGTTTCTTCTCTCTCCACAGAGAAACACTGGAGCTCTTTCAGAGTGATCATTGGGTGCTTGGTTACCTCCCTGACTAAGGCCCTTCTCCCTCGATCACTCATTTTGGCCAGGCAGCCCACTCTACGAAGATTCCTGGTGGTTCCAAAACTGCTTCCATTTACAGATGATGCAGGCCACTGTGTTCATTGGGACCTTCAATGCTGCAGAGATTTTTCTGTACCCTTCCCCAGATCTGTGCCTTGATACAATCCTGTCTCAGAGGTCTAAAGACAATTCCTTGGACTTCATGGCTTGGTTTGTGCTCTGACATTTACTGTTAACTGTGGGACATTTACTGTTAACTTTATACCTTTCCTAATCATGTCCAATCAACTGAATTTCCCATAGGTGGACTCCAATCAAGTTGTGGAAACATTTCAAGGATGATCAGTGGAAACAGGATGCACCAGAACTCAATTTTCAGTGTTATGGCAAAGGCTGTAAATACTTATGTACATGTATTTTTTTTTTCGTTTTTTATTTTTAATAAATTGCAAAGATTTCAAAACGAACTTCTTTCACGTTGCCATTAATGTGGTATTTTTTGTAGAATGTTGAGGAACTAAATAAATTTAATACATTTAGGAATAAGGCTGTAACATAACAAAATGTGGCAAAACTTAAGCGCTGTGAATACTTTCTGGATGCACTATATACCATTCTATATATACAATGTTGCTCAAGCAGGCCACATCACTTAGAGTGTTACTAAACCCAGGACCCTGCATTCACTATATCTGGTCCCCCACAGTACACAGAAAATGGAAGTGCAATTATTTTAGTAAATATAAACTGCTAAATACCTTTTCTCATCAGCAGTATATAGCAGTCTTGTGACTTCTATCAGTGTCCAGCAGAGCACATGTTAAAGTTTGTCAGAGGAGTTTTGATTTTGCTCTAGGAGGATGCAGAACCCCTGACCTTTGTCTGGACAGTGTTGATGGGCCCTGTGCTGACCACATGCACTCTCCCAAAAGAAAAAACCTTTGTAGCAATACACACCAAACTGAGCATGTGCAGAGTGACTACACACAATATGTCTTATCAGGAGATAAGAGGGGAACACTGGAAGAAGGGGAGGATCAGAGGAGTCAGGATCAAACAGCCTTTTTAAACATTGCAGAGGAATAACCCCTTAGGTTCCACAGTGAGTATAACAAGCATGTTTTACTGCGTATACAGACTGATTTTACTGTTGTGGGTTTAGTAACACTTTAACAACTTTCGTCAATCCGGGTGGGCGTCATATGATGCACTTCCCAGATCGCGCCTTGCGCAAACCCGCAGGGCCACGCTTTGGTGAGATCTGTCACTGGCTGTGTACCTCGGACACAGCCGATGACAGATCTGTGTACCGACCCATTACCAGTACCATGTGACCTGCTGTGATCAATCACATCAGGTCACATGACAGCTGTAAACAATGCATGGCTTCTTTTCATGCCATCCATTGTATACAATTGTTGCACTAGCTGTGATTGGTCACAGTGATCACATACACAGACTGGGCCAATCACAGCTCATCTGTGTCATGTGATTAGCCATGGCCAATCAGAGCTAATCACAACAGAAAAACCTAAATTAATCGATTTCATTCAGTTAAATGATTGCTTATAGCAAATAAATTCTTTGCTATATAAGCAATCATATTGTGTAAAAAAAAAAAAAATAAATACTGATCACTTCCCCAAAGTAGTACAATGTTACTATGGTAACATTATACTACTTTGGTCATAGTGGAATATGAAAACAAAATTAGAAAAAAAAAAAAAAAAGATAAAAAAATTTAATTAAAAAATAAATAAATAATAATATTGACCGCCTCACCAGTTATATGATGATGCTGTACTGCACTGGTGACAGTATGAGAAAAAAAAAATTGAAAATCATTTTTTAAATTTCTTAATTTTCCAAAAAAAATTAAAAAAAAATTACAACTTCAAAAAAACTCACCATGCCGCTTATGAAATACGGACTGTCTACTTTGAGCAAAAAGGGGTCAAATGGTGTGGCACTATTCCTCTCACTCATCGAACATTGGATGTTTGTGTGTTCGCTGAACACGCGCAACATCTGGGGCATTCGGTAGGCTGTTTGCTGTAGGCCGTTCGCCCATGCACCCCACAATGCAATGCCCTGGTCAGGTTGCTATGCTTTGGCCAATCACAGCTGAGTTCACAATAAGAGCCATGATTGGCCAAATGTTTCAGTGACTTTGGCCAATCATGGCTCACAGCAATTGGGCAGAGCTAACGGGGACGTTGCCACTAGCTTTGCCCAATTGTTAACGACAGTTATGGCAGTTGTGGGTCAGACGCACACAATTGGCCGGAGCTAGTGGTGACATCACCACTAGCTCTAACCAATTGTTTACATCTGACTCGCAAATATCAGATTGCAGAAAGTGCACGGCGGGTGCGAACAGGTCGGGTGGGCGTTGGTTCTTTTTATTTCAGCAAGTCGGCGGGCAGCATAAACAACACTGTATGCCATGAGTGATGATGGATTACAACGCTGGAACCATTTTTGGGGGGGCTTTTTTTTTTTTTTTGTTTACAAACGATTTTATTGTACAAGAGTAGACAGTAGAACAACAGCACACTTTAAAAGTGATATTGTCAGCAAAAAACAAGGCACTTTTGAAAAGTACAATACATAAAGGTATATTAACATAAACAAAGAAGATAAGAAAAAAAGAGGAAGTTACAAGTGCATAAGTACGTAAACGACAAAATAGGTTAGGTGATACACCTGTCAATAGTACATGCCAGCCAACTTTTACTGGGGATGTTATTAAGCATGTAATAAGTGTCTGCAATCTCTCCATGACTCCCATTTTTTATCGTATAAGTGCAGCTTATCCAGTAGGGTATAATGAATGCGTTCCATAAGCATTACAGTGTCAATTTCTGTGTAAAACGGGAGTCTAAGGGTACAACATTGGACCTCCAATGTAGGGCAATAGACCATAAAGTGGCAATACATAATGTGTGTATCAATCTCAGATTGGCATCAGAGACCCCTGGGATATGGGCCCCCAACAAACAGGTCTGCATGGACAATCGTATCGGGGCGCCCGACAATAAGGTAGCGACCTCAGAAATCCTACGCCAGATCAAAGATATGGTGTCGGGCAATCCCAAAATATATGAACCAAAGTACCCGTGCAGTCACAGCCCCGAAAAGCATAGAGGGGACGTTTGTGGAAACAGTACATGTAGTCTTGACGGGGTATAATACCATCTGGTTAGAACTTTAAGGGGCCGTCTCACGAACCGAAAGAGATCTAGAGCTCTTGCATATATTATCCACCATGGAATCCCAATCCTCATCCGAAAAAGTGACGCCACAATCCTCCTCCCAATTTTCGTCTGTACAAAGGGGAGCATGAAAAAGACAGATCAAAAATTGGTGATAAAGATTTGAGATAAGACCCCTACCCCTGGGAGAGTCAGGGACGGCTGACACGTTCAAAAAAGGAAATCAAGGAGAGGATGGGGCGCAAGGCCAAAGTGCGCTTTAAAAAAAGTGCCTAATCTGTCTATAATGAAGGTACTCGCGAAGAGGAACATCAAACAACACGCGCAGCATATCAAGGTAATATAGATCCTCCTCACCTTTGGAAATCAGACATCTGATAAAAAGATCGATCATACCACCAACGAAAACATATGAGGGGAAGAAAAGGCTACAACAAAAGTAGGATCCCCAAAAAATGACACACCTGGGGGAATAGAAGAGACTAAACCCAATTTTAGATTTGTGTTTGGACCCCAAAGCGTCAGTGAGTGAGTCACTATGGAGTTATGAAAAACAGTCGATAAGGTGGGGGGAGATGTTAGACCATAAAATTCCCGGTAAATAAAAAGGGCGTATCGACTGAGACTCCAAACTTGATCCACTCGGGATTTGAGAGTTAATAGGTAGCCCATTGTGACAATTGCGCAAAGCGATGCCGAGAGATAATTATAGCCAAAGTTAGGAAGACCGAGACCTCCCGACCGTTGTGAGCGATACACCAAATGGATGAGGCAAAACGTGGATGCTTATTTCCCCAAATAAATTGCAGCGTTTAATAGTCCGCTGAAAATGATACAAAAAGGATATTTTTGAGACCGGAACTGGAAGTGCTCTAAAAAGATTTAAAGCAATTTGGGCAAAATATTAATTTTAAACCGCCGTGACTCTACCCAGAAAGGAGATATGATAAACCGTGCCAGATCTTCAGTAGAGTAGAGAGACGCGATACACATGGTGGATAATTAGCCGCAAAATATATCCGAGTATCTGGGAGTGAGGTTAATCCCAGATAGGATATCCTGTCCTTTGACCAGCGAAATGGGAAAGAACTACGGAGAGATGCACCTAGGGAGTCAGGAACATTAACAGGCATGACCACAGATTTGGTAAAATTAACGGTGAGACCTGACACTTTGGCAAATCGTTCAATACAGCACACAAGTTAGGTAAAGAAGTCAACGGGTTAGTAATAAAAAAGCATAAACATCATCAGCATACATGCTCAATTTAAAATGTGAAACTAATAATGAATAGCCAGAAATATCAGAATGCGATTTTAATCGCCAATGCCAAAGGTTCCAACACCAGCGCAAATAAAAGGGGTGAAAGAGGACAGCCCTGGCGGGTTACCTCTACCCAATGTAAAGAAGTCAGAGTTACAGCAGGAAGCCTAATTCTCGTTTTAGGAGAGTCATACAGGGCATGTATGCCTGCCAAAAACCCCCTCACTAAAGCCCATTTTCTGTAGCAAGGAGAACAAAGTAGGGCCAAAGAACACTATCAAAGGCCTTGTTTATATCCAAACTCATCAACAGAACCTCTTTGGAATCCCCCCAAAATTGGCGTCTTGAATAACATTTAGAGTGAGACGAATGTTATCAGTAATAAATCTGTCGGGATTAAAACCCGACTGGTCTGGAGAGACCAAAGAGGAGATGATAGGGGCCCCAACGGTCAGCCAAAATACGGCTAAATATCTTTAGATCATTATTCATGACTGAGATTGGTCTTTAGTTTTGTGGCAAAAACAGTGGTCCTTCTTGTGGCTTGGGTATTAGAGACATGTTAGCCAATAACATCTCCTCAGGGATACTTACCCCCCTGCAAAACATCATTAAATAAAGTTATCAAGTATGGAGCCAATGTAGAGGCAAAATGTTTATTAATAGCTAGCGGTAAATCCGTCAGGACCCGGCGCAGTAGAGCGCTTGAGCGCGCCCATCGCACATGTTATTTCCTCTAAAGTACAGGGGGCATTAAGAGTGACATTTCTCTCTGAAGAGGGTGTAAGGGCAGGGAGGGGTATAGAGTCCAGCCAAGAGTCCGACAGAGGGACAGAATCCGACTGCGGAGGAGCTAGTAGTTTTGAATAAAAATGTTCGAAAATACCCAAGACTTCCTGAGGTAGAGATGAGATAGCACCCGAATTTTTGTGCGTAAATTTATACACGTGTGGGGGGCGCAGAGAGTGGTTCAACTTCCTTGCGAACATGGTTAGATTGCCGAGTTACTATGTAATAGGAATGAGGCCTTCGACCAGCGAAGGGCCTTTTCAGTTTTTGGGAAAGCAGGGCATTCAGTTCCAAGCGCTTTTGGGACAGTAGCTGTTTATTAAGCAGAGATGGATTAGCGACATGGCTTCTATAGTGTGCTTCTAATTCTCGGGTTAGAAGTAGTATTTGCTGCCAACGTTTTCTATTTCTGGTATGAGGCCATGGAGATAAGTCGGCCTCGTAGGACGCCTTGTGGGCTACCCAGAGTGTGGCTGGGGAAATATCAGGGGTTAAATTAGATTGAAAATATTTCCTGAATAGATGTAACCACTTCCTGGCGAGAGTCGATATCGGTTAGCATAGAATCATTAAGTCTCCAAGAGAAAGGAGTAGGTGCCAATCCACACAAATGTGATAGATAAGGCCACAATACTGTGATCCGACCAGGGGCTCAAATGAATGCAAGCTACCTTAGAATTAGCTAGTAAAATTGGGGTACAATATATATAGTCTAATCTAGCATAAGAGTCATGTGGGTGGGAATAAAATGTGTAATCCCTGGCTCCGGAGTTGTGCGCTCTCTCCAGGCAT